CTCACAGCCCTGGTTACAGATACGCAGTACTAACTCGTTGTCTCAGGTCAAATGGCAAGACAAGGCTCACTACCACTCCACGTGGGAAGATTACAAGACGGCAGCTTCATACAAGGGCTACCGCAAGCTAGACAACTACTACAAGGGCCCCGTCCAGAACGACATGTACGTCTACAGTCGCAAGAACGCCGACCCGGAAGAGTACGAGCAACACATGGTTGCACGCGAAGCCGAGCGCGAGAGCCAGCTCGACTTCCACGTCGTGGAGCGTGTGATCGACTCGCGGGACGGTGAAGACGAGACAGAGTACTTTGTCAAGTGTAAGTCGACTCAACCCACCCCTATCTGGATTACCTAACACTCTACAGGGAAGGGATTGACTTACGAGTTCTGCACCTGGGAGCCCGCGTCCCTCGTAAGCCGGTTATCGCAATCCGAGATTGACCGATTCCTCGACCGCGCATCGAACCGGCCCTCCTCCGATGCCCGCGAGGCGAACCCGAACACTCGCAGGAAGTTCGTCAAGTTGGACACCCAGCCTGACTACATCAAGTTTGGCCAGCTGAGGTCCTTCCAACTTCAGGGTGTCAACTTCCTTGCACACAACTGGTGTCGCGGCACAAACGTCATCCTCGCCGATGAGATGGGTCTGGGAAAGACAGTGCAAACGGTGTCCTTCATCAACTGGCTGAGACACGATCGGAGGCAAGACGGCCCCATGATCTGTGTCGTGCCTTTGTCGACCATGCCTGCCTGGGCAGACACCTTCAACAACTGGACACCAGATGTCAACTATGTCATCTACACCGGTAGGGAAGAAGCCCGCAGCATCATCCGAGAGAAGGAGCTGTTGGTCGACGGCAACACCAAGAAGATCAAGTTCAACGTGCTCCTCACGACATACGAGTATGTCCTTGCCGACTGGCAGTTCCTCCAGAGCATCAACTGGCAGTTTCTTGCTGTCGACGAGGCGCACCGACTGAAGAACCGCGAGTCGCAGTTGTACGACCGACTCCGACAGTTCAAGGCACCATGTCGACTTCTCATCACTGGTACCCCCATCCAAAACACCCTTGGAGAGTTGGCTGCCTTGATGGACTTCCTCATGCCAGGAAAGATTCAGGTTGACGAGAATGTTGATCTTGCCTCGGAAGACGCCAGCCACAAGCTTGCCGAGCTCAGTTCAGCGATTCAGCCATACATGATTCGCCGCACCAAGGAGAAGGTAGAGAACGACCTACCTCCCAAGTCTGAGAAGATTCTCCGTGTCGAATTGTCCGACATCCAGCTTGAGTACTATAAGAATATCCTCACGCGCAATTACGAGGCGCTCAATGAGGGTGGAGTCGGCCACAAGCAGTCTCTATTGAACATTGTCATGGAGCTCAAGAAGGCCAGTAACCATGCTCTGCTCTTCCCCAATGCCGAGAACAAGCTTGTCAAGCCTGGTGCGACCAAGGACGAGACCCTGAAGGCGCTCATCACGTCCAGTGGCAAGATGATGCTTCTAGACCGACTTCTCGGAAAGCTCAAGGCCGACGGTCACCGCGTGCTCATCTTCAGTCAGATGGTGCACATGCTGGACATCTTGACCGACTACCTAAAGCTGCGCAACTACCCATTCCAGCGTCTCGATGGAACAGTCCCAGCAGCAGAGAGGAAGATCGCCATTGATCACTTCAACTCTCCCGGCAGCGAGGACTACTGCTTCCTTCTATCGACTAGGGCTGGTGGTCTCGGTATCAACTTGATGACTGCTGACACTGTCGTTATCTTCGACTCCGATTGGAACCCTCAGGCGGATTTGCAGGCCATGGCCCGAGCTCATCGTATCGGTCAGCAGAAGCCCGTGAGCGTCTACCGTCTTGTCTCCAAAGACACCATCGAAGAGGAGATTCTGGAGCGCGCTCGTAACAAGCGCATGCTGGAGTTCATCACAATCCAGCGTGGTGTCACCGATCGTCAGCAGAAGGAGCTCAACGACAAGATGAGCCGTGCTGCAGCAGAGCCCAACTCCGCAGATGACATCAACAACATTCTCAAGCGCCGTGGACAGAAGATGTTCGAGCAGTCTGGCAACCAGAAGAAGCTGGAAGAGCTCGACATTGACTCAGTCCTGGAGAACGCTGAGGAGCACAAGACCGAGCAGGCTGCCGGTCTTACATCTGATGGTGGCGAAGAGTTTCTCAAGAACTTTGAGTACACCGATGTTAAGATCGATCTCGAGTGGGACGACATCATTCCGAAAGAAGAGCTGGAGGCAGTCAAGGCTGATATCCAGCAGCGGAAGGATGAGGAAGAGACTCAGAAGCTTCTTGAAGAGAGCGCACCACGGAAGCGCAAGGCAGCCTCAGCTAGCGCACGCGAGCAGCGAGCAGCAAAGAAGCGAGCCCTTGAGGCTACCAACGTCGAAGCGGACGACGACGAGCAATCTGAGCCAGACGACAACGTCAAGCGCGACCCCAAGCGGCCTCTCAACACAAAGGAGGCTCGTAACCTCATCGGCGCGTACTGCCGATATGGTTCACTCGAGGAGCGTGGCGAAGAGATGCTCCGCGCAGCTAGGCTTGTTGGTCGCGACATGGAGGTCGTCAAGGCCACTCTTGATGAGATCATCTCTATGAGCACGCAACTCGTCAAGGATGAGCAGACCAGGCTCAAGAACCTGGAGGCTGAGACTAAGCGTCCCATCACGAAGAAGGACAAGAAGGCCGTTCTTTTCGACTTTGGCAAGGTCAAGAAGGTCAATGCAGAGACCATCCTTGAGCGACCCATCGAGATGCGCGTCCTGAAGGAAGCGGTTGAGGCAACTCCCGAGTGGCGCAACTTCCGCGTACCGGACGCCATCAAGCCCGCGAGCTACTCTTGTCCCTGGGGCGCACGCGAAGACGGCATGCTCTGCATCGGTATTCAGCGCCACGGCTATGGTGCATGGATTCCCATCCGTGACGACCCAGAGCTTGGGCTCACCGACAAGTTCTATCTCGAAGAGCATCGTGTCGATAAGAAGGAAGAGCGCACGAAGGGTGAAGAGAAGAACGCCAAGTCTCCCGGCGCTGTGCATCTGGTTCGCCGCGCGAACTACCTCCTCACCGTGCTCAAAGACAAGAGCACAACAGATCCAAATGTCAAGCGAATGATGGAGAACCATCACCGCAACAACAAGAAGCATCAGCTGAACATTGCGCGCCGGACAGATAAGGGCGTCTCTGCTAGCCCCGCTCCAGCTGGCTTAGCACGTAAGATGCAAGGACGGGATTCAGAACGTCCTTCTCATCGGGCAAACAGCAGCAGCGAGATTCGACGTCCTGATAGCCGGACTGAAGGCCGCCATCACGATAGGAAACGTGACGATCGCCCTAGAAACAGCGACCAATACAGGCCCTCGGACTCCCGCAAGGACCATCGCAATGACCGCGACCGCGACAGCGTTGATCGTCGTGTGCACACCTCTGATCGGAACGGCACGCCAGAGAACCGCCGCAAGATCAGTGGCGACGTTGATAGGCCGCGTATTAAGGATGATCGGCCTCGCCTTTCTGAAGATCGCCCGCGCTCTCATAGCCAGAGCCAAGTGCCAGACCGCAGCGTGGAAACACCCAAGCCCAAGGAGAAGAAGGCAGACGAGTTCCTTGAGCGCAAGCTCCGACCTGTTCGCGACAATCTCAGCCGCCTTAAAAAGGCGACGCCGAAGAACTACCCGCAGAAGGAAGGGATGCTCAGGATCCTTAAACAAGAGCTGGTCGCTATCGGCAACTTCATCCGTCAAAACACCAAGCAGAATGAGGAGCTCGAGGATCGTCTATGGTAAGCATTCTCATCAACTTCTCACACACTTATGCTAATACATGATAGGACTTTCACGATCAACCACCACTGGCCTCGGCCCGGTGTGACTGTCGCATCGGTCAAGGGCATGTACACTAAGATGGTCACCTCTGAAAAGCCAGCTGCGGCTGCGGCTCCGACGAACGGCCAGAACAACGGCGCCTGAGCACTTCTCCACGTACACACATACACACACATGATGCTCACGCATCATTCCACGTTATCTACCATGGGCATATGGCGTTTTCGATTATTTACGGTGGCACGCCGTCGAGTATATTTGCAGCATAGCGTAGGTGTTCGGCTCGGTTGGCTACTCAAGTTATGACTAGTTACGGGCACTGTTTGATTCTTCGTCTTTCTATTGTATTTGCATGGACAGCCCAATATCAGGGTGCGCCCCGGTGTTCATGACTTTCGCAGGGCGGCGCAAATAAAAACTAGTGTACAGGTTGTTGAAGAGCATGGCGGCACTTGGGATAGTGCGCTTTTACATTACAAGAATGGAAGGTGTCTCTGTGAAGAGAGTATCATTAGTAGCATGTAGATTCAGCACTTGCGGTTGTGCAAGATGACAATGGACTACACACATCACGCTTTCGCTTCGCTGCATGATGATGGTGAGGTATTATTGTTGACTGCAGCCTTGGCTTCTTGCAGGATGAAATGTGATCACGCGAGTCATCTGCTGCCCAATCTTCATGGTCTACAACCCTACAAGCTGGTTACTGGGCTGTCTAGAGTATTCCAACGGCCCACACGTGGCTTGGAAGCCAAGCGGTGAGGGATATTCGGGGAGCTTCCAGCGGCAGGTTGAGAATTCGCAGAGGCATTTGATGGAGCGCGAGGATTGTCGGTATTCTGAGGTCACGCGATCAGCAGCGTACGTTTGCTAGTGAGACAGCTGTGGCTGTGGGGAAGGGCATGTGTGTTGCTGGCTGGGGTTTGTGTGGGAGTGGTCTCTAGTGCGAGGGCGATGACGCTCCAATGACAAGGGTCGCTGAAGGATCGTGCTCGCAGCGGTGGCTCCCTGTTGCGCCTTGCTTCCCCGGCGGGCGCCATCAGGGTGTCTTCGGCGCTTTTGCATGGTAGAGTCCTGTGCGAATATACAGTCGCGCGCCATCCACGAAGCCTACGCAGATGCCTCGCTCCAACACTCCATCATGATACATATGCTGCGCGTACGGGACGCAGCTCTATGCGGGCTGCTCTTTTGGGCACACGCGACCGCGGCCCCGCCTAACGCGGCTGGCGATGCAGGAAACAGCCGCGCTGCGGGTTCCCGATCCATAGACGCGGATGGGCGACGAAAGCTTACAGGCAGGTTCCTACATATTACGGGTACGTCGGCCATTTGATCCCTGGGGCTGCTATCGCGACTAACGTCATGCCGCAGACTTTCACCCAGACCCTTTCTACAAGACATATTCGAGCACAGAAGCCGACGCTGCGTGCCATCGCAAACGCGGACCCGCCGGTCTCTATGGCGCAGAAACCACTGGATGCGACTCCCCCTTTGCGCTCGTCAACCAGACGTTCAAGTGGATTGAAGACAACATCAAGGACGATGTAGACTTTGTTATATGGACCGGCGACTCGGCGCGACACGACAACGATGATGAAATCCCACGGACGCAGAAGCAGGTCGTGCAGCAGAACGAGTACATGGTCTCCAAGTTTGCGGACGTCTTTGGACAGAGCGGTCACGGCCATGGGCCCAACAGCTTCGCGATACCCATAGTACCGACTTTCGGGAACAACGACATCTTGCCACACAACATCTTCACAAGCGGGCCAAATAGATGGACGACGGAGTTTCTAGACATTTGGCGCGGTTTCATACCCGAGGCGCAACGACATCAGTTTGCGCAAGGAGGCTGGTTTTCGGTTGAGGTGATTCCTGGGAAGCTGTCCGTCATCAGCTTGAACACCATGTGAGTGGGGAAAGAAACTTGATCTCTAGGGCAAGAACTAACACGCGCAGGTACTTCTTCACTTCCAACTCCGCCGTCGATGGCTGCGCAAAGAAACGCGAACCCGGCTACGAACACATGGAATGGCTGCGCATCCAGCTTGATATTCTGCGCGATCGCGGCATGAAGGCCATCCTCATCGGACACGTGCCGCCTGCTCGCGTCGACAGCAAGGAGAGTTGGGACGAGACCTGTTGGCAGAAGTACACGCTCTTTGGACGACAGTTCCGAGACGTCATTGTGGGAAGCCTCTTTGGGCACATGAACATCGATCACTTCATGCTGCAGGATTTCGAGCACATCGAAAAGGACACGGAGAATGGCAAGATGGGAGCTTTGGATGGCAGATCTGCTCTGGCTGATGGGGTTCAGCTCCTGGAAGATGGTGAGGTGACGGTGGCATCTGCGTCGGATTATCTGCTCAATTTGCGGGAGGCTTGGGCTCAACTACCTGCGCCCCCGCCGAAATCGAACAAGAAGTCGCGCTCGAAGCGTTTCGATGACGAAGAGGAAGAGGAGTCGATGTGGGAGTGGCTCATGGCCATGGTTTCAAAGCCGTCAAAAGACCGGAAGGAAGAGAGGAAGAAGTATCTCGAGAAGATTGGAGGAAGATATGCTGAACGTTACGCGGTAACACATGTCTCACCCAGCGTAGTACCGAACTACTTCCCCACCCTCCGCATCATCGAGTACAACATCACTGGCTTGGAACACCTCAGCGTAGCGTCCAGCCCAATCAGCCCGCCCACGATCGAGACGCCAGCCGAGCAACTCCCGATTACCCCCACGGATTACGACGAGTATGACGATTACGACGAAATCGACGACGAAGACGTGGAAATAACGCGAAAGAAGCACAAGGGCAAAAAGGGCAAAAAGAAGCCCCGAAAATACAAGTTCAAAGTCCCAGACGGCCCTTCGAAATCCTCTCCACCAGGCCCAGCCTATTCCCCGCAGACCCTGACATGGACACGTCACGTCCAGTACTTCGCCAACCTCACACACATCAATAACGACTTCCTCGAGCCCTCGCCCGATGCAGCCATTGACGACCGTCTTTCTATCAACAACGATGCTGTTCAGACGATATTCGGATTCGGTGTCAGTCCCGACGGTAGGATCGAGAATAAGAAGTGGAATGAGGGTAAGCACAAGAAACACCAGGGTAAGCAGCCGAGACCCGAACCGCATCCGAATGAGTTTGTGTTTGAGGTCGAGTATGATACGAAGAAAGACCACGGGTTCAAGGATCTTACTGTGAGGAGGTGGGTGGAGTATGCAAGGAAGATTGGCGCTTCCACGGGCAAGACCAAGACTATTGATGTACGCGAGGAGGATGTTGAGGAAGAGTCGGAAGAAGACGACGGTGTTGAAGGAGAAGGAGAGGACATGGCGGATGAGTATGAGGAGGAGAACGAGGTGGATGAAAACGACTTCGTCATCGCAAAACACAAGAAACACAAGCACAAAAAGGGAAAGAAGGGAAAACATCACAAGAAACACAAGGCGTCCAAGGAATGGTACACTTTTGTTAAGCGCGCGTTTGTGGGTACTATGGATCCGAAGGAGCTTAAATTGGTGTTTGGGGCTGCGGACGTCGACGATGCAATGGGAGAGGCAGAGGAGAATATGGAGTTGTAGATGGGTGCGGTGCATTGTATGGGGGGCGGAGTGGAGTATATACGCTGAGGCATGTTTGTTGATACCCTTTGGCGTTTTTTTTGGTCGCCAATTCTTTTCGTTGTCGGGATGGGGGCATGGGGAGATTCGTTCTGTGTATATGGGTGGGCATGGGAGTGGCGTCGCATTGCATAGGGCTGGTGTAGCATGATCTCCAAGAAGCATAGAGCTGTGGAGAAGAAAGAAATATAGGAATCGTATACAAACCCCCCAGTTTGAGTCTTATCTCTGTCCCACTGAGCGTGAAGTCGATGAACAGTCGCTCTTGCGTTGTAGACGTAGTAGCTGCGCTTCGCATCTCCATACATGGAAAAGGTAATCTGAATAAGTAGTCATGCAAGTTTCCGTAGTCGGTTATTGCGATTCTGATGATTCGGCATAAAGTAGATGGATGGATGCGCTGCTTCAGCGCGGGCGATGTTGGGCTGCGTGCGTTCCAATATACCGCATCAAGAAACTTTGCCACACCGTTGAAAGCGGCGGACTGTTACTCTTTCCACCGGAAACCTTAGCCCGACTCTCCTACACTACAACTTTAGTCCACAACCCGTGTACTGCACCATTCTTTACTGGCTTTCGCGGGAAATTCTTCTCTTGGAGTTAACAGCCCTTGAACATTCTTCTCGAGGTTATTGCACACAGTCACATTTCCAGTGCCGCGGTGTCAATGTTTCATCGTTGGCAGACATCTGCGCTAGTGGGGTTCCGGCACCGAGTTACCGCGTTGGGAAGGTTTGAGTGAGTGTAGAAAGCGGCGGACTGTTACTCTTTTGCTTTCACGCGGACGCGCTGGCTGGCGCGTCGTTATGTACGACTGCGCAGGGCTGTTTCACACGGTGTTGGCTGGTTCATGGAATATCTTGTACTTGCCTGTGCGTGTGAATTGAAAATCCTAATTAGTGTATGTTTTGTACTCTTTTGCTCGTCTCTTGCCTAATCGCTTGTTCATGGGCTGTAAGCCAGGCTAAGCTGTGCGCCCGTCGATTCTATTATTGAGGCGAGAAGAGAGACTGAGGAAGAAGGCTCGTCGTTTTTTTTAATAGCCCTATTGAAATACTGCTACATAGCATGACAGCTTGTATGAATTGGGTGTTGTATTATAGTTTGGTACTTTGAATTGTGAATCCCGCGTTGACATGAATGTGAGAAATGGAACGCTCCATCCTCTCTGACGTAGAATTGTACTGAAAACATTTTCAAAAGATGGTACGTTTACAAATCCTGAATGACAGCGTATCCCAGTTTTGTGGAAGACATGGGGTGAATTTGCTGCCCAATCTTGGGTCGGACATTGCACGAGACTCAGGACGTGGTGCTTCGGGATTGTGGCGAGGTAGAAGCTGGAGTATAGGCAAACAGAAGTCTTAGACGGTAGCTATGCTTACTCATCATCTATAGGGAAGCGTAGAGGTGATGGTCGAAGCAGTTCGCTTTGTTGGTTCACTACCCCGCAAGAAACGCCACATGCGCCGCCACAACCCCCACAGCCACAGCTGACGTAAGGAGCCTTGGGATGCTCGAACCATCCGTTCAGTATGACACTCCACTCTTCACACGCCCAACGCACGCGATCAGGCAGCAAAGTCTGCGCACCCTCTCCTACACAACAACAGAAAAGCGTGAAAACACCAGATTGAAGTGCGACACAAACCATCATCATGCCGCCGCCGCCTCCTCGTACGTCAATGCTCCTGTCTGTACTACATGTGAGACGTACTGACACCGAATCCAGCACCACCGCCTCCCATGCCTGGGAAAGGAAGGGGCATGCCACCGGCTCCGCCGCCAATGGGAGGGATGAAAGCACCAGCGCCGGGTGCAGGCAGAGTTCGTCACATTCACAGGGACACTTGCACTACGTGGAACCCGGGCTAACGCGTCACAGGGAGCACTCTTGGGCGACATTACAAAGGGCGCACGACTGAAGAAAGTGACACAAATCAATGATCGATCCTCCCCTATAGTCGGCAAAGTCAGCGACGGACCTGCAGCAGCACCCATGGGCGCGCCCAAGATTCCTGGAGCTCCGGCCGTCCCTGGAGGGGCAAACCGAGCGAGAGCCAACAGCGACAATGGAGATGGAGGGAGTGTACCGGCTTCGGCACCACAATTGGCGGGAATATTCGCTGGAGGTATGCCGAAGCTTAGAAAAGCAGGCGGTGTCAAGACAGGCGCAGAGGACCAGGCGCCTTATCTGTCGGACCCCGAATCGAACAGAGCTTCAGCTCCTCGAGGCGCAGCACCCAAACCGCCTGGACTTCCTCCTTCAGCACCTCCTGGGCCTCCGATTCCAGGTATGCGACCAGGCATGAATGCGCTCCGGGGTCAGGACTCAAGGCCCAACTCGGTAGCCTCAAGTATAAGTGGGAAGCCTAGGCCGCCTCCACCGATTGGAAAGAAGCCTCCTATGCCACCACCCTCCTCTCGAAAGCCGTCAGGTCTCGCTGCACCACCTGCTCGCGCACCACCTCTCCCAGGATCCGCGCCGCCTGCTCCTCCGCCATTACCCCCGAGCTCGACGTCTCCCCGACCGACTGGGGCACCACCTGCTCCTCCACCACTACCACCTTCGCCAGCCCCACGAGCGACCCCGCCACCACCGCCGCCGCCACCCTCTGTTCCCCCGCCATCGAGCGCGCAAGACGATGACGACGACGAATACGATCCATATAAATACAATTCAGCGCCTCCCATGCCTCCACCACCGCCCCCACCCTCGAACGGACACGCGCCGTCGCTCGCAGAAACAGCCGCGCGCAACGCCTTCAGCCGCACATCGCCTGCTGCTCCTCCTCCAGCACCGCCTAGCGCACCCGCGCCTTCTCCACCACCTAGCCAACCGCTCAGCCGACCCGCCTCGCAAACACCACTGCGATCAATGATGGATTCAAGCTCATACACCTTGTCGAACGGCGGATCAAGCATTAAGAGCCCGACCAGCTCGCACGCTGGAGGGAGGGAAAAGGGCAGAATCAGGCCCATTCACGATTTGAGATGGAGATTCCAGGACGAAGGGCAATTCCCACGGCCAAGAGAATTCACCGGCGGACCGAAGAGATACCGCGCTGGACGGGGCAGCAGTGTGCCATTGGATTTGAGTGCGTTTGAATGAGCAGGGTCGTGACAAAATGTTTTTTGGGGGTGATTTGTTGCATTGCTGCTGGTCAGAGCAGGTTTAGGGATAGATATTGAAGTTTAGCCTTGGCGTTAACGGGGTTTGGTGCCTTTTGCGGTGTGTCGTGGACGGTCAGGGAAGATTGTTGGCGAGATGGTGTATGCGTCGCGAGACGGTACACCATGGGTATATCGCATGCAATAGCAGGTACCTCAATCCGTTCAAAAATATCAACAATATATCGTAAGAGAGCGACCAGTTGAGACCATGTGTTGGCATACTGATTACTAAGATCTAAGGTTTGAATAAGAAGGAATCTATGTTCCTGTGACACCACGAGCCCTATGGCTGGGTATTGGACAATGAAAGTACCTTTCCCAGAAAGAGATTGAAGAAAAAAGAAGGAACTATTGACAGCACGTCAATCCCCGATGAAGCAAAAGATCAGCTGCGACCACGACACAAACGTGCCAGATCGCCTAAGCGCTTTTCTTCTCCTTCTTCGTCCTGGGTACACGGCAAAGCCAGTAAAGGAAGATCGCCGCCGCCACATTAAACACAACGTAAACCCAAAGCAGCCCGAAATCCCTCCAGCGCGTATCCCAATCCGCATGAATACGCTGCAGAAACTGGTTCGTCGAATCCATCTGACAAAAGTTGCACTGCTCCGTCGCCTGCGCATCTCTCAGATAGCCACCAGCCATCTCAATATACTCAGACATGTACTCGCCACACGTCTGACCCTGCGGCGGAAAGAAAGTCTGAAACTCAGAGTCCGCGCAGTAGGCAGGCGCTTGGCCTAGGGTTGTTGACATGAAGCTCGATACCAGGTATGTGAACGGATTAACGCGGTACATGAAGATCCAGAATCCGGGTAGATCGTTGGGACCAGCGAGGATGCCGCAGAAAGCGTACAGCATAATCGTAACCAATGTAGCGAGCGCACCAGCGATTTCCTCATTGGGCGAGCCAGCGATGAGGAGATGAGCGAGTGTGCTTGCGAATATGAAAACAGCGACGACGATGAGCAAGGCGTGGAAGCCGCGAATGTTGACTGTGTTTGTGGCTTCTGCGTTGCGGTATAAACCGGCGGGGTAGTACCATACGAGGAAGCAGAAGATGGCCATGAAGGCGTTCCAGGCCAGTTCGATGAAGATGTTGGAGAGGACGAAGGCTTGCCAGGCGTAGGTTTTTGATTGCCGCTCGCGGGCTTCGTAGAGGGTTCGCTGTGAGATCCACATTGGCATGATTTGGTAGATTAGTTGGATGACCTGGGATGGGTTGTTAGAGGGTGTACGATGTTGGCTGTGGAAGGTTTAACGTACGACGAAGAGGAAGATGAAGACACCGAACATTTGGTTCTGGAGGCCCATCATGGTGTTTTCGCTTCCAAAGAAGGAAAAGCCGATCAACAGTGAGCAGCCAATTGTCAGAATGGCCTTCGAATAGATGTATGAAGGGGTTCTCCAATACTGCTGCGCGCATCGCATGGCTACAGCGCGGAGCTGATCCTTGAACGAGGCAGCGAAGACCTGATGGCTGGCGTCGGATGAGTCCATGACAGCAGAGGGCCGGTTGGCAAGGTTCCTGAGATCGGCAAGTTCGGTCTGGAGATGCATGTACTCTTTGCTGTTCTTCCAAACCGTAGGCCAGTCGATCTCCGTCTTTGCACCTGGCGCGGCGCCAATCGCTGCGAGCATGTACTCGGCGGGGTTGGTACCAGGAGGGCATGCTGATGCGCCGTTGCGGGTGAAGTAATCGAGGAGAGTTTCGGAGCCGCGACCGATCTCGCCGAAGTAGACGGTTCTGCCGCCTTTGGCTAGGAGAAGCAGTCGGTTGAACCGCTGGAAGAGAAGAGACGAAGGCTGATGGACGGTGCACAGGATTGCTTGGCCGTCTCGAGTGAGCTTCTCCATTAAATCGCAGATGGACCATGAAGTCTGACTGTCGAGACCGGATGTAGGCTCATCGAGAAAGAGCAGTAGCTTTGGACGAGCGGCGAGCTCAACGCCGATTGTGAGGCGCTTACGTTCTGTAGGAAATTAGCGAAGCTCGTAGAAGTAAAGCTGCAGTATTGGAGTGCTTACGTTCAACATTGAGTCCGGATCCTGGGATTCCGACTACGGCATCGGCGTACTGTTCCATGTCCAAAAGGCAAATCACGTGGTCGACGTAGGCTAGGCGCTCTTCGCGTCCGTACTCAGGCGGCTGACGCAGCAATGCTGAAAACTCCAGCGCCTCTCGCACAGTGGATGTGTCCAAGTGGATGTCTTGTTGCATGCAGTAGCCAGTCTGTCGCTGGAAGCTGTCGTCTCGCTGACGGCCATCGACAAGCATGTTGCCGCCAATGACACCCATAGTTGTTCGGCTTGCAAGCACGTCGAGCAATGTGGTTTTGCCTGCGCCTGACACACCCTGAATATTTGTTAGCTTGAGTCTCAAACTTGTAGTGCAGATGCCATACCATAAGAGCCGTCAGTGTACCGGGCCTGATATATCCATCCACACCGTCTAGGATCGTGCGAGTTTCTCCCTTGATCTGGACTTCATAGGAAACTTTCTCCCAATGGAAGATGGACACCTGCTTCTGCATTCCAGGTTCGGGCCCACTGTTACGACTGATCTTCTCGCCCTCGTGAGCGGTCGCTCCGCCATTCTCTTCATCCACGCTCTGCTTCTTGGCCGTGCTCTTCATCTTGGATCGACGAAACACAAGCACCTCGCCCTTGGACCGTTCAGAAGCAACCAACTCGCTCATAACGAGATGTGCGAGGAAGAGGATGATAGTGATAGCAATGATAATGCCGTAGTTGGACCACCGCTCGCTATACTGATACTGAAAGGCAGTCTCGACGTATGCAGTGCCGTTGACGTAATCGAGGCCCGGTTGAGAACCTTGCACAGCACACGCTCGCTGTTCGGGAGCGACGTTCTCGTATGATGGGCCAGAGGGTACGAAAGATGAACAAGCGAATGTGCGACCGTGGAACTCGTTCACCATGACATTCTCGAAGCCATACGCAACCGGATTGATCCATCGGAACCAACCTGCCCAGCCTTTCATATACTGGATTGGAATAGCAAATCCTGTATAGAGCACGAGCATTATCAGGATGAGAGAGCTCGGGGCAAGTGCTTGCGAGAGAGTCTTTGTCATTGAGGCAAACAGGCGGAAGAACATGCTCATTGAGAGGCCCGTGGTAAATCCAACAAGTAGGAAGTAGAAGTACGGACCGGGTTCTCGGCGAAGGTTGGACATGAAGTAGAGCGTCGTATTCACCACAAGACTGTTGGTGATTTTGTATGGTAGATCAACGATCATGGAAGACAGTGCTTCCGCCGATGGATGATAAAGGGCATATCGGTTGTGTTTCTCGACGATCGTGCGTTTGGAGTAGAGGTTCATGATTTCGAGCATCGATCCGAAGGCATTGAGCAGAACCACCATGAACAAGACTCCACCGCGCTTGAAGAACGAGGCCGTGGACTGGGGTAGGTTGTAGAAGATGCTTGCTATGATGAGCGCTTCGAAGAAGTTGACGACAAGCATCGTCAAAGGCACACTCGGGTCGTTCTTCAGCCTCTGCACGTCTCTCCACATGCAAAGACGAATCTGTCGCCAGTAGGAAAGGGTATAGGGTGACTTCTGCCGTTGCTTCTTCGATTTCTCCAGAGTTCTCGAAAGCGCAAAGCGTTCGTGTTGCTCGCCTTTGAGGGGATACGTGTTGTTGTACTCCTCTATCGCTTGCAATAGCCGCTGACGGTCGGGACTTTCTTTCCAGCATCGAGCAAAGTCGTCGGAGGTACGCGGTGTTTTGCCTTCGAAGCCTGGCCTGATACGGCGCTCAGAGGCTGACGTCATTGATGTAAGGAAGTCGGGCGTGGTCTGGGAGGCAGGGCATTCGAAGCCAAGGTGTTCGAAATATGCGCGTGCTTCATCGGATGGTCCAAAGTAGATCTGTCGGCCTTCGTAAAGGACAGTCACTTTGTCGAAAACCTATGAACAGTTAACATTGCTCTCTCTTCATGTAGCCATACAATAGCTTACCTCATAAGCGGCTTGTGGAGCTTGGTAAATGGCGATGACACATGCTGCCCCAAAGACGTCGCACTGGGTTCGGAGTGTCTTGCAGAACTCCACAGCATTAGCAGAATCAAGTCCACGAGTCGAATTGTCCCATAGTTGAAGCGGGGCAAAACTGAGAGATGCTTCCGCGATCGTCACTCTCTTGCGCTCGCCGCCGCTGACTCCTCGTACGAAGTCGTTGCCAACGCGTGTGTTAACCGTGTGTGAGATGCCGTACATGGCCATTATGACCTGTCACGAGTTAGTGGTGATCCAGCTTAAGCTCGAATTAGAGTGCCTACGTCTCGGAGATGCTCAGCATAGCGTCGACGACTGATGTCACCAGGAATGGTACGAGGTGCTCGAGCCAGAGCCGCGAAGTAAAGCGTGTCACCAACGCTCAACTGGGGGAAATGCGCATCAACCTCAGCGGTATAGATAGCTTCCCCACGGAACACGGTGTTCATGTCCTTTGCTGGTACTCCTTGATAGTTGAGATACGAGTCAGGGCTGACTTGGAAGCCATGAGTCTCGCCTGCGATAGTCTTCAAGAGAGTAGAGCATCCTGATCTACTAACTGTCAGTTCGTGCTCCGAATATAACAACAGTCAAACATACCCAGGTGGTCCCAAGACACATAGTTGCTCTCCTGGAAGGAGCAAGCCGTCCAGGTCTCTCAGGATCTCGATCTTCTGCGTGCCTCTGCCGAATAGCGAAGGAAGTTTCAATATGGTATTACCCACTGTCGACTGGAAGTCGGTTGGTGAACCTTTGCCCCACACATTCAGGCCTCTGAAAGCGACGCCAGCTACGCGGGGAATCGTTTCCTCGCTACTATAACGCAAGTTATAGAACGAGCGGGCCCAATCCTTAGCACGGAATTGGTCGCTTCTGGGATCAAGCCTAAGGATGAGTGTACGAAGTCAGTATTTGTCTCACATACAGTTCGTACATGGATATTACTAACCCCCCATGTGCATCTTCGGCGAAGGGTGAGCCAAAATGTTGCTGTTCAGACTGTGTTGTAAACTTGCGCACGAGCTCGTGGATGTCTCGATCACGCTGTGCTTCTTGTCGAACTTTGGTCTCGTCGTCAACTCCTGTGAGACTAGAGCTAGCGTCTGACTTCAGATCTACGCGGTCAACGCGTGCTTCCTCGTTTGTCGCTTGCGCTTCTGTGAAACCTAATGCGGCTGACATGCTGGTCAGAAAGGCAGGTCCAACTTCGGGGAAACTGCGACCAGGTGAATGCGTCAATCCAGGTATGCCTGGTTCCTAGTGGTCACGAACAACATTAGTCAATGTCCTCAACTGGGGTGTATGCACGAGGATACGTACGGTTGGGAGCCCGTGAACAGATCGATTAGCGCTCGCTAAGTGTGAGCAGGGGGAGATCTGAGATGGCGATGTTTGACAGAGCCCGTAGGCCTGGTAGATTTACCTTATATCATACGATGCTTTTTTGCGATCCATGCCTTTACGACTGTGGATGATGTAAGTTTCTGCCTCGAAAGTACCGGAAGTCCATGCCCAGATGCCATGATTGCAGACAGTTGTCTTCGGCAATCTTGGCGCGAATGAGTCGAGGTGAGCGTTCGCGTCCAGGGCTGCTGTTGGTTCCTGAAACGTGCAGGGTGCGGACATTCGGCAAAGGCCGAAAGTCCGTGGAAGCCCTCGGGCTCCGTGCTGCACCAAGCCTCCATCTCCACCCTCTACGAAGGATCGATCACATTATCTATTTTCTATGCGCGAGACCCCGGGACTCCGCCCGCCGAAAATTCCGCTGTCGCGCGCAACCCCTTTTCCGGAAACTCGGTGTGCTTTTAGCGAACGCTTTTAAGATGACGATGAAGCTTGCCGTAGGTACCTGCCCTAAACCTACGTCCGCGGGAACAAACCATCTGCTAAGCTGCCATTGAAGTGTCTTCGTTGTAAACGAAAGAAGATCAAATGCGACAAAGCAGAGCCGATTTGCCATCAATGTATTGCCGCCAAGGAAGAATGCCATTATGTAGAGCGCAGACAACGCCCGCGCCATGCCCACCAGAAGGCTGTCGTACAGCATCTCAGCCAGCGACTAGAACAACTAGAGAAGCAAATTAGCGACGCTGGTGATGATCGTTCGTCATCTGTATCCGAAGTCGTGCCCAGACGCGATAGTATCCGAAAGAGCACTCCGGTGCCTTCACCGGAGGCCTCATTAAATGTGGCTGATGGCCAGGATTCATGGGTAATAACAGCCACAACCGGAGGCGCTCGTGTTTGCTGCGTTTTGTCTTGATATCTCGAGCTCCCCGAAGGTATCCATAGCATTTCACATGGTCAACGTCCTGTCAGAACATTCCATGCGGACTTACGATGTCTTATCTTCTACTGTGTTACGAAGCACATGAGGTACATATAGCGGCAAAGAGTTGGGGTCGGCGATACAGCTTCAAAAACGCATCCCTTCATATGAGGAGCCATCAGCACACGGCTCAGCACACACGAGCGCCTTCGAAAATCTTCTCAACTATCATCACAGCTAATCATGATAGATCTACCGACTTGCGACGGACACAAGACGCAGCTTCCAACACAAGGCTACCCCAGTCTCGACACCAACACCAAGCATCGACAACGCAATGCTGTCTCTCAACGAAGCGCTCGAAGACCTTGGAAAGTTGAGGGTGCGCACTGAGACGCACAGCGCGGATCTGAACCTATCCTCCGCAGAAGCGCGGACGTGTATTGACGGCTTTATCTCCGTCATGAGCTCAATGCTTGCGCCAGATGCATTTTCTCGTTCCGTGATCGATACTGACCTCCTTTACGCGCTTCCCGATATCATCAAGTCTCCTTACGTCAACATCGATCCCGTGGTCCGCGTTATGTAGTAAGCAACCTATGCCTATTGAGGTTGTGTGCCACGTGCTGACTTTAGGTGGCTTCAAGCTACAATGCTCTGTTTTATGGACTGCAGCTGACTGACGGCCCGGGAGGAGATCTTACGACGAAGGCATACATGAAGATGCTCGAGAGCGTACCTGCTTGGCTCGCATCTCCAGGTGATACGAATATGGACGTACATATTGCAGCCCTCTCAGCATGGACGGCCATGACTACTCACGACTACCAACTGGCATGGAAGTTCCACTGCAAGTCATGCCAACACATTAAGTCGATCGGAATAGATCGGCTAGACACGGTTCCGGCAAAGTCCTTCGAAGAGGAAACCGAGAGAGATGTTGGTCGCTACACGTACTGGTACGTTGTCTCCATCGACACGTTCTTCCGTTTGTTCTATGGGAAGCCCACTGTTCTGCGATGGTCGCCAAACAAGGTCCGCCCGCCCCTACTCTTTCGTCCCGACAACATGCATCCTTCGGCGCTCCATGTTACCATCAGTGTCGTGTGGGTGCGATATACCCTGTTGACCGTAGAGGCGATCGGTTACATTGACGAAAACCCGCCACACGATCGCAACAGCTGTGTCCAAAAGGCTGACGAAGCTTGTTCGCAAATGGAAGACCTCATCAGCGAATGGAGATTGGAGGAGGTGATGAACGGCAAAGAGACTACAGATGATGTTCGCTGTCTTCTTGCAGATCACATCAGTAGGTAAAGTGCGGCAATGAGCTAAGATTGAGCTGATCTCAAATTCAGTGAACATATATGCGACTATCATCGGTATTCAGAGGCTGGTACAACAGCACCGAACGAGACCCGGACCTAAGGACATCACCCTCAGAGCCGCACGAAGAGTTTTGAGCATTATCCTTGACTTTTATGCGGATATTAACCTCAACGCCAAGTTTAAGAGTATCACGAATCAGTAAGCCGCCACTCTCTTTACTTCGCGCCAAGCATCCGCTGACTTGGCCCAGTTTCATAACGCTCTACCCTTTCTGCGTCGTGTTCACACTCTACGAACACATTGTGGCGTGTACCAATCCAGATGATTGCGAAAGCGATATACAATCTCTCGAGACGATCGGCGTCGCCATGGCGCAAAGCTGCGCAGAGCGTCAGGACTTGATACCGTTTGCCAAGACGATCAATGCACTGAACAGGGTCTCGCGGAGTCTACAAGATGAGAGACGCAGAGGCCCAGCCACCGTGGATTCCAGCGACAGCGTTGCTCAAGGGATGAACATGCCGCCGACAAGTTTCGATACGATTCAGAACTTGATGGCCAGCGAACTTCCAGACATTGACATGTCGGCCTTTTCATCGATGCCGGACTACACCGCGAATATGGATGGCGACTTCCAATCTCTCGGCTTCTTGAGGGGGCTTGAGAATGACTTTGTCACGCGGAATTGGCAGACTGATTGGTGGGATCTTGGTGGTGGGGGTGATGGCGACATAAGCCAGATGCCAGCGACGGATCCCACAGGCTTTCCCTACACTCCACACACATGAGGAGGGCAAACTGTCAACGAAACTCGACCTTGAAGGGGCGATGGATCGCTTCGGTGAACTTTGGGTGTATATATTACTATTCGCATGTCTGTATCATAGCTGTTTTAGGGTAGAGATGCATGGTTTGCTTACGCAATGAGTGTTTTGAAGCCACTGAGACATACCAGGAACTTCTGGGTACATGTGAACGCAGCGCAGAATACTGAACATATCAGCTCAGCTGTACTCCATCCAATTAGCACTGCGGCTATCTCGTACTAGCGCCTTTTGCCCGCTCCACTATCCCTTTGCACAAGACAACATTCGGTACCTCTACCGGTCAGCTTATACGAAGGTACATTGACCGCATACAAATTTCTTCCTTTAATAGTTGAGCATATTTTCAAAATGCTAGAATTACACCCCTAAACTACGTACTCTGTCGACTTCCTCCTCACAAAAAGCCCCCCAAGCGTCTCTGAACCAGCCATCTTCCTCAAGCTATCGCGTCCACTCCTCTCCCATAACAATTCAGCCTGCGTATCCCTCTCCCACAGCAACCTGGCACAACAAGTCCTACGCCGCCATCGACCCATTGAACCCCAATCTCAGCCAAACAGGAAAAACAGTCATCATAACCGGAGCCGGTAGCGGTATTGGTCGCGCGACCGCTCTCGCCTTTGCCAAAGCACATGCAGCGAGACTGATCCTGATCATGCGTACCGAGTCGACGCCTCGAGAAACCAAGAAGCTACTTGGGCAGCAAGACAGACTACATGGTCTTCCCCGTTTCAGCAACCAACGAGACTGCGATGCAGAATGTTGCTAAACAGGTCGGCGCATGGGATGTCCTCGTTCTTGCCGCAGCGCATATCTCTTCGCCGTCCTCGGTCGTCCAGAGTTCGCTGCAAGACTGGTAGGCAAACTATGAAACGAATGTGAAGGCGATGGTCATCGCTTCACAGGCTTTCATTCCGAATGCAAAGACTGGTGCTGCGCTGTACACAGCGAAGATCGTCGGGTTCCTTGCTGCGGAGAACCCAGATCAGTTCGCGTGTGAATCCTGGAATGGCGGATACAGGTATCTTCCGAGGCAGTGGTGCTGATCCACCGCGATTGCCGATGGATTCTGATAAGTGTGTATCAGAAAGGGCGAGGACAAATGCTAACTACTCCGCACCGGAGCCCAGCGCAAACTTCCTAGTTTGACTGGCGCAACTAAAACTGAGTGTGCAGCGATAATTACGTGATATTTGATATCCTCCCCGACTTCATCATGTCAACACAAGAGTGTGGGTTGATAGATGGTACCTAGGTATTGGGGTTCGAAAAGAGCAGAACCGTGCTACAGCGTAGAGCACAGTACTGGGGCTCCAAAAGGAGCAGACGCATGTCGATGAGACATGCGGGTTCAAGAAAACGGAATCGAGCCACAAGGACTAACGAAGCCGTGCACCCGGCTAAGAGGGAATCTACCGCACAAGGCAAGTAGACGCGCCCAAAGTGGATGTCCCAGATGTGCTACAGCGTAGAGCACAGTCCGAGGCGCTACATTTAAGAGCGACGGGGTGTTTACAAGTAAACGTGACCAACGAGCAAAGCGCCGACTGCCACATCATCTGGATATGTGACAGAGACGAAATTTTCGCGGTGAGGAGCAAAGGAGCGACGGGCAAGAAGTTGTATATATGGAGCAGACGCTAGTAGACGCACGGACCAGGTAGCAAACAGCCAGCGATGAGGTGAGCAGTCCGAAAGAGCCTTCACCGATACTAATCCGTCTCTTGCTGCATCATACATCATCAAAGAGTGTATAGAGTCTCGTAGCTATGAGGTATAATGCAGAAGAACTCTATGCGAATCGATGGGGGCAGTTCATGCTGGTGCTGTCACGTGCCTCAAGGTGCCAGAATTTATCTCAATCTTCTTTACGTCCAACCAAAACCAAACACCAGCCTGTGGGATCAACCATGAGCTACTCCCCACCTCACCTCCCGCGTAAACCAACCACCACACCCATCCAACCATCTCCCTATCCCCTAGGCCTCCAAATCACCTGACCCTCACAAGCGAGCCGCCCCGCCAAGTCCCTCCAGTGCCACACCAAGCCCCCAACTTCCAACGGCGCAACCGCCATAACCAACAAGTGCCTAACTCCGATCTCGATCTGAACACGCGTTTCGCACCAACAACCCCAACAAAACAACGACTTTTCAGTGTTGACTCAGCCCCAACGGCCGTCGACGCTCAAGCCACAGCTGTTGCGAGTCAAACTATGAGTCCAGTTATATGACATCATCGACCGCATCGACCGGAAGGAGCGATCCACGGGAGCTGCTTCCTCCGATTCCGAAGCATGGAAGGTCACACACGTGGACCAGCCAACGACTAGCCTTAGCAGGGAAGGAGCGAACATCACACAGGGTACGCAACCAAGTTTGCGAAAGTCTAACGAGTCCAAAGTTTGAAGACACGAGGCCAGGGAAATTTGACAAGTTGATCTTGAGCGTCACGAGCGATAGCATTCGTGATTAGTTATCTGCGTGTTCGTATACGAGATCTACGGATTCGCGTCGTTCTGTGTGTGACCACAATCTCCGTCTCGTAATAGAGAACATCCTCATTTCAATGTGGATAGTTATGCATAGTAGAAAACACCCAAGTCCTTGACGCCGTTTATGCGGTATCCAACAGTTTCTCCCGGAGCATTAATACAACTCTTCGGTGTTGGATCCCCCGCAATTCATAATTCATCCTCTACATGTATCACCGTGCCTCCGCGGGAACCTCTGCCGCTGGCTTTGGCATAGGCTTGAGCTCCGAGCCTGCCCCGCTCTCAGCGCGCTTCCGGCCTGTGAGGGAGAAGTGATGGCTCGAGCTGGGTCGCTCTTCCGTCTTGTCGGTGTTGTTGTTATCGCCGAAGCGCGAGAAGATGCTGCGCTTCTTTGGCTGCGGCTTCGGCTCGTCGTTCAGGCCCACCTCCTCGAACCCCTCCTCAGGCACTTGCTCGTGGCTTTCGCTGTGGCGGGGTTGTTGCATCGAGGAGCGCGGTGTGGCGCGCGAACGGCGGACGTCGAGCGAACGTCTGGTATCTACGGAGCGGCGCGCATCGAGCGACTGGCGGGGGTACGTCTCATGGACATTGTCTTGAATGGGAGAGCGCGCGGAGATATCCTGTGTGCATTAGCGGGGTCTTGCCACTGGTCGCATAACATACAAATGACCGCCTGTAGGAGTCGAAGCTCTCGCGCGAGATGCTAAACGGCTCATTCTCGGCGAGCAGACTGCGGTGATTTGAAGATGTGGTCGAGATGTTAGACTTGGAGTGCCAGAAGGTGGGCTTCTCTTGCTGAGGGCTCGGCTGTCGCAACGTCAATCAATGTCTCACGCGATGACATACGCGCGCGTCGCTCTCCCTCCTGCATCCACAATCACATGGGCTTAACATTGCTTACCGGTAGATACACGCCGCTGTCGTTTATTTCTATCACATGGTAAGCGCCCACTCAGCCGATGCAGTGATGCCGCCCCAGGAACATGCTCATGTTTGAGCCCCAGGCGCATTCGCAGGAAATCTCACCACTCAATTTGTACTCGACAGGGTCCTTGACCTGCACGGGTGCGGCGCCCGAAACAGCTGTGCTCTTGAAACCGTTCTCCGGCGCGCTCCGCTGGGCCTCATCGACGGCCTCAGGCACACCCGCACGACGAAAGGGATTGCGGATAGGCATGGTGGTAGGGCGCTAGGGATCAAACAAGGCGGTACGAGAACAGAGTGGGGAGTTTCAGTAGGCTGGTGTAGATTGAAAAGGCGAAGAGGAATGGTAGGTCGCGGCTGAGATCATGACTTCTGCGCGGCGCCAATCGGGCAGGAACCAATTGCCCTAATGTGGCATCGCCTCGGCACCTACCAAGTCCCGATTCAATCTTGGAATGTCCTCGTGTGAGAGGTTGGCGCAAAACCAAAGACGTCATGTCGCAGACGTGCAGACTTGATTGACTGTTGTCTGTAGAGATTTCATCAGCTGTCGAACCAGGCACGCTCTGGGGTGCAGATCAGACTGATCCCTGACGACGGAAGTCAGGTACCAGAGAGCCCCTCAGCTCACCACAGCCGCGCCTCAAAACAGCTTGTTTGCACCTCACACAGGCTGACCTGCGTTATCGCGACTAGAGAACTGCTCACCGGCGGTATCCTTACCTTTGCGCTGGCACGAACATTCGCTACGGCACCTTGCGCTAGGTGGATGTAATGCGGTGATGAGGCAACTCATCTAAATCAGGCTGCGACGGGAGGTTGCGCCTCATATCCGAAACATTGGAAGATCTTCGCGGTTAAAGACGATGGTTTCTGTGCCTCAGCCATCAGCCTCTGCACGATGCGAAGTTCGCACGGCCGACTCCACTGCTGTCGGCCCCTCTTTACTCGATCTGTGACCGGGGTAATATGTGCGGAACATGAGGCTGTGCCCATGTAAGCAAGGTCGGCAACGTTCGAGATCCCGGCGAAAATACATGAGATATTTCGAGTGTAGACACTGCAGGTGATCCATGTGATGGAATGGTAGCTGCGAACTCTCGAGACGGACCTACCGCGGTAAGTAGGGTCTGGTGCTTGAGTCTCCCCGACAACACTTTGGAATGTTTTGAGATGCCGTTTGCCCTGGCTACGGATACTACGGATACTTGCTAACGGTAGCCGCATGGGAAGAAGGAATTCGCCGTACATGAACCACTTGGAGATGCCGTATCCGCGACGCTGGGTCGGAAGATCAGCGTACGGTAGTCAGGTCAACTCAGCCTTGGTGAAGTGTAGGAATGTAGTCGCATTAATGCCTTTTGTTCAGCAATATCGCGCTAGATACAGAGAGTGTTAGTAGCTACCTGTTGGTCAGTGGACAGCTCAACGCAAGGCTGCGTCCAGGCTGGACTGCTGCAAAGCAAACACGCATGCGGCAAACATCCCCACCGACGCTTGTCGAAGTGCATGGAGCAGATGCCAATCATGCCTTGCAGCTTCCCCTCACCTTGATCACCACTGCGGCCTAGTTGCAGCACAAAGCTCGTTCACTTGTGCGGTTGTGGTGAGGAGCTCCTAATCTTATACGAGCGCGATTAGAATGCCCAGAAACTGGAAAGCGCCGGCGCATTATTTGAAGTTTTCGGATCATGAGATGGCATGGGTACGAAGGATTCGCGGATACGAGCACTAGGGTTGAATCAATAATTTCGCGGCTTACTTTGCAGCACTAAATCGCCTTGTGCATCGTTTGCCTTGGCTGAGGCACCAAGACGGAATCACCATCATCGTCTCGTCACGATCCAATTTTCTAGAACGAGAAGTGGCTTCCGATGACTTGTGGCTGAACGCCGGGAGAAAAAAATGGAACCGACCGAGGGGCCAACATTGAGTACGGCCAACACGTTCACCATGGCAAGGGCTTTCGTTGGGTAATTGTGTAGAGATGATGCTTTTTGAAGGTACTGAAAAGAACAGTTAGTATGACTAACGATCGTGTGTGATCAGTGCGCACTGGCGAGTGGTAGTAGATTCCGCGCTCGCCTAGACAATCGATACACTCCCGGCATGGTGGCGAGCGAGGAGATGACCCCAAAGCGTGCGCTGGTGAAAAGAATTTGGAACAGGCCGGGAGCGGTGTGCTGGGAGTGACCGTTACACCAGAGTAGATGCGGTGCGCCGTGCCCCTCAAAGAAAGCAAGGACGTGCCCCGCTCCCATCCAGGTCTGTGAGATACCATCATGGTGGAGAAGCGAAAACCCATCTATCTGGTGGATCGATGCGTGAGATGAACCTTGAAGAGTGCCAAGCAGCGACGAATAGCGGAAGGCCTTGGGCAAGAAAGTGGGAAGACCGTCTCATCCAACGACCGCGGCATGCCAAAGCCGCCATCCGCCCGCCCCAAAATTGGAAGCCCACTTAGCAATGTGTGTAGTGGCTGAAGACGCTTCTGTTGTGTGTGAAGGCGATCGTGCGGTGCAGTTGTGACGACAGCCTCGTGTTTCAGAGGCAAGGGAATGGCAAGACGGTCGCATCCGACTCAGAACGGAAGATCACTCAACCTGAGGAATAATACGAGTTGATATTGAGCTGGTGTTTCCGAAACACTCGGAGCAGTCCATAGAGGGAAATTCGTCATCCTCGCTAGCCGTCCACAAGCGCGCACACCCCTGGGGCCTTCCCTTTTAGCTTACCAGCCAGCATCGCTCGGATTCATCGTGGTTCCCAGCGGCTGACTTCCGCCATCAACGTCGACGATATTCTTACATCGATATAGACCCCCCTCCTCATGTTACACACACCCGCGCCTCAAACACGTGCAGCGTCGCGGCTCGCGATGGTCCTGGCGCCCGAGAGTGAGAGCCTAGGGCTGGCTGTGACTCTGCTTCGTGTAGCTCCACATACCGTGGCCGATCATCACTCAAACATTCAACGTGCCACTTCGTCGCTTGCTAGTCTTTGCTATTTCAGTCTACATCCCGCTCCGTGTCATGGTTGGGCGTTTACTAAGTAATTACTTAGTAATTACTAAGTTACTAATTAGTAATTCTTAAATAGGCTTAGTACCTAGTAATTACTAATTAGTAATTACTAATTAGTAATTACTAAAAAAAAAAAATTAGTAATTACTAATTAGTATTACTTAGTAATTACTAATTAGTAAATTTAGACAAAAAGAAAGAAAAAGATATATATAAGAATAAGTATATATAAAAGAAAAGTAGTTATTTTAATATTATTATATATAATATATTAGTATTTTAAGTTAATACTAAAGCTATAAATATATTATTTTAGCTAAATATAATAGATTTAATATATAATAAAGTAAAGATAAAAGTAAGTATAGTTTTCTTTATACTATCTAATATAGTAATAGTATTATAGTAATA